CATTACTTTCTCCCACATCCATCATTTTTTTACCAGGCAGATACTACCTGCCAACTGTTTCTGTCTTCTCCAGAATTTCACATTTTCCATTCAACTTGGACTGCACAACAGTGTGGCTTCTCCTCCTACTCTGTTTTCTGCTGCTCTTTACTTCCAAATTAAGGCAAAAATACACATGCTTTGTTTAACCAAACCTATTTAAAGCTATTTGTTCTGAAGCTGTCACCTAGACAATTAATTTAGCTGGCCTAAGAATGTGAATTTATGACTTTGGTAATCAAGCTTAAGAAGTAACAGGAGTGGGGAGGAAAGTTCTCATCTCTTTTCCTGGGCATGCTCAACCAACTGGAGACAAGAGCATTCCTGATATTAACCACTCCACTCTTGCTAAGCACTTAACAGATTTTTGTCTTAAATGAATTTTCCAATATGACTACACAACATGTACTCTCTGCTTTTGAGAAAATTGCTTTAGGATGTATCACAAAATCTAACACAAACATAAAGACAATATATTTAAATAAATAAAAGAGGCAACATTATTAAATCCTATAGCATGTTGTTAGCATTTTTAAACTTTGTAAGAAGAAGACCTGCTCACAACCAGAATCATTCTTTTAAATTTGACGTGGCTCATTATTTGGCATCTCACTTGTAGTTTCTAAGCCTCCATTTACAGGATACAGACAAAATTATTAAATAACTTATTCCAAAAAGACAACTAAAAATTCTTAGTTGACTACCAGGATGGACCTTTAATCTTGATATAGACCTGAAGAAATATCTAAACTGGAACTTTATATTCTGTTTTGAAAGCATTACAAGTGCAAATGGCTTAAAAAAACAGGGAATAAATGGTGGCTTTCAGCCACTGTGTCTTCAGGTTGGAATTTGTTAGAATCAAAGAAAAAGCTGCCTATTGCCTTTACACCTTCATTATCTATCTTGAGAACCAACCTCAGCATTCAGCATCCCAAACTTTTTTCAGCAAAACACTGTTAGAATCTTCTGAACAACAAATGTTATCATCTGCCTTATTTTTACAGTCTTCTCCCACTCCTTTCTATGTTCATCACACACAGTGTCAGCCATAGTTGCCACAACAAATTACTGCACTGTAGGAGGAAATCATCACAACCGTAGTTTCTTTCTGTATCATTACTCAGCTAAGTCACATAATAAAGACAGACATTTCCAATTGTTCTGGTAATAGTACATTCTGAAAGAATGTGGACTAGGGCATGGCACATCTCCACAATAATTTAAATTATACATATTATCTTTTAGACAAAATTTTTTTTGGGAGAAAAGATGACATTATTTTTTAGCTTCTTGGGAACAAGGATGGGATTATTGGTATAGCAAAACAGCAACTTAGAGAACAGGCAGTTCAACTTGGTCAGCAAATAAAGCAAGATTTTCTTTTCAAGTAATTCAAGAAAGCCTAATGTTAGATTTGAAAGCTCTCTATATATTCTTACTTTTTCAGGATCAAACTCCAGCTTTTTAAACAAAACATTTACCATTTATCAAATTGGATAAACTCTTTATTCTCTGTTAGGACTGCAAGTTCCTGTCTTAGGAAAAAAAAAAAAATCCAGAAATTGTGTTGAATTTTTAATATTCTAGAATCATGCACTTCAAAGAAAAACTTCTGCAAAGAGAGCACAATAAAATTTTGTTCCCTGTCCCTAAATCTTAAAGGAGGATGAAGAGATAACCAGTCCTTGAATAAATTAGAGAAGGGAGACTATGTTCTCTGTATTTTGTCTGAAAATTTACAATCCCTGTAGAAACGAAGAAATAAAACCTGGCTTCATTATCAGCTTTGGAGACCATCAGCACAGTAAAAACCAGCACCATCTTTAACCTCAAGGAAGGACACTGCCTCAATGAAACAGAAAGGATACTACAGCATCTGTTTCATATAAATGCTTGGCTGCTGAATATAAGAACCTTAAGCAGTATAACTTCTGCTGTGTTTTAAATGCTGGCTGTTAATATGTTACTGTATGATGACATATGTAGATTCCTGTTACCTAAACCTAAAAAGACAAAGCAACAAAACCTTACAACTACACAGAATGTCACTCTATAAATAACATGTAACAACAGGCAGTGGTTGTTAAGGAAAGATACCTTCCTTCAAGCTTCCAAGATCAAATGTCTGGACAAGACCTCCGCACTACAGTAAAGAGAAAGTATATAACAATAGCATAACGACTGAAGGCAAAAGACCAGGAATAAGACAAAAAATACGCAGCAATCAGGCAAAACATAGTTTCTCTTCAACATCAGAAGCAGAAATTCCCGAACAAAATTTAACAGTGATGTCCTAGGGTGACAAATGAAAAATGCTTTGGTTTATTTTCATATAGGAGCAAGAGAGAAACCATGCCTACTCCAGAAAACTCAGGTTTTACCCTCATCAAACAGGAACACATTTCTCAGCTAAAAGGTTAAATGCTGACTAGAGAATCACAGAATGATTTAAGCTGGAAAAGACCTCTAAGATCTTTGAGTACAACCTTTGACCTATCACCACCTTGTAAACTAGATCACGGCACTAAGAGCCATGTCCAGTTGTTTCTTGAACACCTCCAGGGATGGTGACTCCCTCGGTGGTGATTCCAATGTTTAACAACTGTTTTCATTAAGAATTTCTTCCTGATGTCCAGTCTGTACCTCCGCTAGTGCAGCTCAAGGCCATGTCTTCTCATCCTGTCACTGGTTGACACAAAGAAGAGAGCAACCCCTACCTGGCCACAGCCTCCTTTCAGGCAGTTGTAGAGAGTGATCAAGCCACCTCTGACCTTCCCTTCTCCAGACTAAATACTCCCTCAACTCAGGAGTTTCCTCAGCTGCTCCTCACACACTTGTGCCCCAGACCCTGCCCCAGCTCCATTGCCCTTCTCTGGACTCTCTCTAGCCCCTCAGGGCCTTTCCTGCAGTGAGGGCCCAGCCCTGGGCACAGCACTGGAGGTGCGGCCTCAGCAGGGCCCAGCACAGGGGGACAATCCCTGCCCTGGCCCTGCTGGCCACAGCATTGCTGATCCAGGCCAGGATGCCATTGGCCTTCTTGGCCCCCTGGGCACAGCCTGGCTCATGTTCAGCTGCTGTCACCAGCACCCCTAGCTCCTTTCCAGCCACTCTGCCCCAGCCTGTGGCACTGCCTGGGGTTGTTGTGACCCAAGGGCAGGACCTGGCACTGGGCCTTGTTGAACTTCACACCATTAGCCTCAGCCATGATCCAGCCTGCCCAGATCCCCCTGCAGAGCCTTTCCTACCCTCCAGGAGATCAACAATCCCACCCAACTGGCTGTCATCTGCAAACAAAGAATGCACTTGATCCCCTTTTCTAGATCATCAATAAAGATATTAAACAAAAATGGGTCCCATAGAGTAGAGTCCTGGGGAACGCTACTAGTGACCATCGACTTTTGGAACAAAATAAACTTTTGGAAGCTTGCTTTTGCTCTCTTACCAGACAATGAAAAGGTAAGGGAACTAGCATTTTTCTACAATATTTCATATAAGAAATCAGATTAGATAAGTTTTAAATATAGACATGCAAACACCTATAGGTCAAAGGAAAAAGGAAGTAAAAGGTGCAGTAAAAAATTCTGACAATCCCTCTGTCTTTGAGAAGAGACAAATGGATGAAAACGACAAATCAAGTGTTCTGGATTACTCCTCATCATGAGCCAAAACTCCCCACTAAGATAAGATTTCTCAAAACACACATACCCATATGATCAGAAAATGTTAGGAGACTTTAACAAGGATCTGCTATCTGCTATTGAATCACAGATTCAATTTTTGATTAAAAAATTGTATTTATCTACATGAATTAAATATTTCATACAGATTAGGTAGCAGAACATATAAACTAGACGGCAAATGATTCACCCTATTTTTTTTAAAAATCCAAAAAGTGATATTATAACACACTTAAGCAGTATCTACACTATGTCTGAGTGGTCCCTTTATGAAAGAAAACCTACTGGGTTTTTTTTTGCAGAATGTATGCTCAAACAGGAACATGTATGTTTAAATCCATGGACCAGTGAGTAGTAAAGAGGAAATGCTATGCCTTTCACATGTGCTTATCACAAAGCATTCTTGGAACAAGTTCAGGTAAGAAAACTACTATGCAACTAGATCTCCTGAAACTTTCTTCAAGAACCAAGTCAAATTCTACTCCAGATAATTTAGGAGTGGTTACAAGCTCACTGAAAAATCTAATAAATATCGTCAATATTAAGTCTACTATATTTACATAAATAATAAATAAGATACACAGAAATTTAGAATATGAAGATCTAGGTGGGTTTCAAATCAGAAGAATATTAGACTCCATGAGAACTCTTCATGGGAGACTGTTTTCTTGCTTCTAACAAGCAACCTCACTTGAGACTCAGAGTGAGAATTGGGTGCCAAATAGGTTGCCTGTATGTAGAAAAGTTTAAAAAAATCCTACAACCATAAAACAACCATTGCTCCAGAATCCAATAAACCCAACAAGAGAACAGCTCTCAAAGAATATAACTCATTATAAGTTGGCTGCCTTTGCAACACTTTCAGTGGTGCAGTAAATATATTGGTTTTGACAAATGTTCAGATAGTTACCTGAGCCAGTTCTCATAAGTGAAAGTTTATACATACAATAAACACAAGGAACTTACACTTCCTTGAGCTGCCACATGAGCCATACTAAAATTACAGTCCAGTTTGTATTTCTGTGTAACTCAACCACTGCAATTCAAAAACTTACATTAAGGAGATACACCACATGCCTTCCACTCCTCCTCCTTTTTACCCTTTTTTCTTTGAGGTCAGGATTTATACAGCTATTCTCAACTTTATCTGCTGAGATTTTTAACTACAGCTGTACTAATCTATCATTTTAAAATTTAAAATAACTAACAATTTAAAACAACTGATAGTTATGAGGAGATTTAGACATGCATGTTTTATAAACCAAGGAATAAATGCCATACCTCCAAGTTCTTTTACGTTCAAAATTGCATTCTGGAATGGCACTGCTTTTATACTAAAACCTAAGGAGAGAAATACAGAATATTAGTAAGCTGTTTGTTAAAGGGGCCATTTGGAATCAACTGCACATATTCAGAAAAAACAACTTTTTCCATCAAGAACCAGGATTTTGCCTGAGAAATTCCATTTCAATAAGTTTAAAAAGTAAGTTCAAAGGCAGTGGGAAGGGGGTAAGAGGTGGAGGAGTGCCACAGAGTGGAACAAGAATAACTCAGGATAAGAAATGTAATTTTCAATTATAAGTACTTGGCACACAAAATTTAGCACAAAACTTCCATCCAGATCTTCTGCCAGAATATACTTCTATAAAATCATCTTTTACTGCATCTAGAGCTAAAGTGGACAATCCAGACTATCAATAATACGAGGTGATCGTTCTGCAAATTTTAGGAGACCTTGAAAACAATGTGCAATTCAAATGATTGTATTCTTCCATTTAAACTCCATAGGTTTTGGTTGCAACTGGATTATTAATTTTTTCCATAAATGTTATTAACTGAAAGATCCTTCTACAGACCTAAGTTGGATGTCTTAATGGTCATAAGCACGCTGGAAATATCTAAGAGTCCTCTATTAGCCTGATTTTTGCTTAAAACTGAAGTAAAAATAAAACAAATCCAACCAAACAAAAAAAACCACTACCAAAATGTGACCTTTACCCTTAATTGAAAATTCAGACAGACAAAAGAACAGGAATGTGAAAGGCTCCCAGCCATACCAATGTATTACACACTAAATTTTGCATGTTCAGTGCATACATATATATAAGCATACATAATACTTTATAAAGGAAAAATTATGTGCGCTCTTTCAGCAAAAAATATCCAGACAGACATTAAATTTATTTCCATCTAGTTTCAACATGATTACATACCTGTGAACTGAGTAAAGAGGTTTTGAGAAAATGTGCTTCACTTCACATTTATTAGCTATCACTTAAGAGAAACAAGATGTTTTTCCTCCCTGGTAGATGTTACAGTACTCCTACTATGATCAGTGCTAGATACAATAGAGGAAAGTACAAGAAAATCTGAAGGGAATAACTATGAAATATTTTGGGGACTGTTATCTTTAGAGAAATCCTAAACTCGTTCTAAAAAAAGGTAAAAAATGGAATGGACCTGAGTGGCATTGATGAAAAAAGCAAAAATATACATTATAACTTGAAACCTGAGTGGAGAAGTGGTCACATTGCATTCTTGGATTCTCCACAATATTGTCTGATATGCCACATTTAAGATTTATTATAAGCTGAGTACCCTAGATGTGCATCATTTTGGTTTGCCTGCCTAGTATTCTCCAGAGCTGGTTTTTATTCCTCAAGTTACCTAATCATATAATAGTATTTTATTGCATCTCTCTCTAGAAAAACAAAATCAATTTAATTTTTAATTAGCAGTATTTTCATTCCTTTCTCTGATAGCTCTGTACTTCTATTTATATTGCTGTTACTATTCATTTCAGGGTCTAAAATATTTAGGTATAATCTATTTTAATCCCAGAGATAAACCTCAAGAGAGGGATAAAAAAAAATTTAAAAGGCTCATTACTCTACAGTTTCTTTCTAACTTTTTTGAGTTAGTCACCCTCTCATAGCTAACTGTCAGATCTCTCTAACTATTACAGAGGCCACAGGTTAACTATTCACAGGTTAATAAAAACACTATTTTCTTGTACCTGTTTTACATTTTAATTACATTTCTATTAAATAATCTTATGTTCTTGTAAATTAAGAAAACATACACTGAAAAGCAGTTAGGGTTGCTATGGCACAATCATGAAATTCAAGCCCATGAACCACATTTACAGCACAAAGCCATGTTACTGTAAACACAAGGTACTTGCACAACACTTGGTATCACTTCCATCAGCAAACCAACCTTAACAATTGCTGCAGCCACTGAACCTGATTTCTTCAACCTCCATGACCTAATCTGCCCTCTTTCTGAACTTTCCAGCCAGGTATTCCCTCCTCTTAATTCACGTGTCTTTTTCTGGTTTTTATGGTGCTGTTTTGTTCTTTGTTTGCTTTTTGTTTGTTGTTTTGGGGTTTTTTCAATCAAAACATGTTTTTCAGTATTAGGCATTCTGGTTCACCATTATCAAGATGCCTATTCAAATTTTTTGGACTTAAGATGCATCTAATCTGTGTTTGTACTGTCTGTTTTTATGTATCTCCTCAGTACCACTATAACTTTCTGTAAATTAATTATTTGATAACAATCTGCCCTTACTACATAAACAAGCCTGTTGCTCATCTAAAAAGCTGGGATTGTCACCAAAAATCGATATTTTCTTTTTTTTTTTTTTTTTTGGTTGCTAGCATATACCACAAGGCTATATGGACCAAGTACGTACAGAAACAAATCCCAATTAAAGTCTCACAGCATCACTGTCCTATTCTATTTTACAGCATATTCTCCTCCTTTTTCTCCAATACATAGTGAGACTGTTTAAAAATCAAAAGTAAAATGAGAAGAAACATTTTAATGTGTGTCTACAGCAGAGTACTACTGTATGTTATGGTTCTGCTTCATTAGACCACACATTTTTGATGTCTAACATATTCCAAATTGCATGTTCTCATGGATATTCCCCATATATGAACAAATACTGAAAGAAAGTAGTGGTAGCTTCAAAGTGATCCATTAGGTACTTTCAACAGCAAGACAAGTAGGCTGAAGTTCCCTACAGGCTTTGCTATGTGTTTCAGCAGTCATCTTTGGACAATATCCCAGCACACCATGGAATAAAGGGAGCATCCTACCTGTGGTAGACACGATATTCTCCGCGCTTTCACTGCAGAGCTGAGACAGAAGACTTGTCTTGCCAGAGCCAGAGAGGCCTATGCAAACCAAGTCATACTCAGGTCGTGGTGGTGGCGGTCCCTTGCAGCAAAGTGCTCTAAAACACTGCCAGGATAGGGCAAAACAAAAACAAAAGGAAGAGGTTAGTTTTCTTTTTTGGCAAATGTTTATTTCTTTAACTTTCTAAGAAGGAAGTTTATAAACCTGAAGGCATTGGAGAGAAGCAAAGTATTATTTCAACTTATTACTTTGACTAAGTCAACAATTAATAGACTAAGACCAGCTCAACTAAAATCTAGAAAAACTTTATAACAAAACAAGTACACATGTTAACTTTTCACCTAAACATCAAAAAGCTGTGTGTCCGTTTCCCAAGTAGCACAAACTGCTCACACCATGAGACAGGCTCATGCCCTATACAGCTCTGCAGCTGATTATGCATGAGTTTCCTTCCTGTGCTAATTTCATGCAATACCTGGTGTGAATATCAGGGCCAGTCCTGAGCAGCTATTGACCAGGCTCTACCTGTTGTCACAGAGAAGAATCAGAGACCTTTGCTCCACTAATATCCTTTCTGGGCTTGCTTTGTCATGCATTTCAGCTCAGAACAACAGCTTGTAAATAAATAAATAAATAAATAAACAAATAAATCTTTCTGGACATAGATCTAGTAAAATCCAGATAGATATCTCACTTTCCCTGCAGAAGTGCAAATTAATCACAATATAAACAAATAAATCTCTCTACACAAAGCCTACTTCAGATTTCTGCTCACTTCTCTTAAACAGTTTTGCCAAAGTAGGCCAAGTTTTCCGAAGGGTTCCTTAGGCCCTCATTAAGTTCTTCAGTTCTTTGTTTATATGCAATTTAGAAACATTTAATGTAAAAATCTAAGAGCATACAATTCCAGGAAAGCTGGGAAATTTATATTTTATGTATGGAGCATAATTACCCACTGATTTCCAAGGCAGACTTCCACCACTCCAATAGACATAGACATAAATAACTTTTTCCCCAGTATTTGCCACCTTTATATCAAAGGAAGACATCTGCTCTAATAGGGAAGGGAAAACATGTCTGTGCAATGAGCCCTTTCTCACACATTCTGTTTTTACATAGTCCCAGCTCTTTATTTCCATCTTAACCACAAGTCTGCACTGCACTGATTGCGGGAAAAGAAATCCAGTCTTTACAACCTTAACCTAGTTTGTCTTGACAACTGCCCAGGTTTTCTCACTGAGGCCTACTGGAGGAGCAGAGAAACTGAACTGATGTCAGCAAGGCTCTAATGCAAACAGTGGGGTCTGACCCTGTGAGCAAGTCGTCCAGTGAGAATGTGATTATAAAAGGACGGCTCACTCAACACAGAACTTTAATTGGATTCTTTCAGTATAGATGGTAAGCTATTACACATGCTGCCAAAATAGTTTTCATTGCTTTGAAGCAGTAAAAGATAAATTCAGTGAAAGCTACAAAACTACTTCAGCATCTTTTAAAAGAGTGAAAAGCAACACTTCAGAAGAAGTAAGAATATGTACAATAATATTTAAGCTGAATAAAAGCAGCAGATTTAAAAAATAATAGTTTTGCCTCTATGAAGATTTGATTCAAAAATTATTTTCCTTAAGGTTTGCTCTTGTATATGTCCATATCGCAAAGGAATAAACTTGTCTATTAGCTTTATTTACTGCTGTTCTATTCATTACTTGTTTATACTCATCTCACAGGTTCTACAAAGCCACAGCAAACATTCTACAGTGGTACTTAAGTGAGAAAGGCCAACTGAGTTCATTGAAAAAGATAAACTCCTTTAAATAGAGTTTCCATTTAATGGATATCAAGCTGAAGGGCCGCATGAAATCCTTCAGAGCTTGCCAGAGCTCCTGAGGCTGTGTGTCAGACCCTCTATAGCCAGTCTTTAAAAGGATTCCATTTGTCCCTGTCATCATGGCATCTTTGCAACAACCTCTTGATGTGACATGGAAAAACATAAAGGAATAGATGAGCTGATGGAATTCTGTGCTTCTCTGTCCAGCCACTGTGCTGGTTCTTATGCAACCAAATGTGACACTTGAGCCCTGACAGCAACTAATGACATATAGTTCTGTGAAAGATAATTTCTGCTCTTTGTAAAACATATATGGAGGCTCTGTGGGTGACAGGCAGGTTTGTGAAATTCAGTATCTCTCTACTGCAAACTCCTTAAGTCCAACTTAGACTGGAGAATCTTTATATGCTGTGAGTGAAACACATGATCAAAAATCTCCAAAGCAGCATATTTAGACTCATCACCCCTCACTTATCCTTCACTATTAAGCACAGTTAGGCAATGAAATTTCAGACAGAGCCCTAGAAGACAGGAACATGGCTTCCCCCAGACCACTCTTGTATTTTATTTGGTATGGTTCCCTTATCTTTGCTATGCTCATGACTTTGTCTTTCTGCTAGGTTAATTTCCTTCAGTAACTTGGTTTAGTTGTAATGAAAACATTTTTTTTAATATTATAGCTTCAAAAAGCTGCTGAAACTTAAGCTATTGTGTATAGCACTTAGCAGAAGATGACATCTCATCTAGGGTACATTGTAGAGGATGCTTGTAAAAACAGATTTGGACCTAATAGAGTTGTTTTGCAACCCTCCCTACTCAAGTGCAATGAACATCTTTCCCATTGGAAATATCACTATACAAATAATCTGATCACTCCCTTCCTGTTCTCTAGCAGCCTCAAGTTACCTGCTCCCTAACAAAGTTAGGGCCATTTAAGTATCCATTATAGAGACTAAACCTTTATTGTCACAACTGTGGCAGCAGCATCCAGTAGCTACATAGTATCTGTGGGGAGTAGAAAACTCAGAAGTCGCAGACCATGCAAATAAAATTGCATCTTATATTCAGTATTTCATTGTAGATAGGAAATGCATCCTAAAATATTTTATAACCATGGACTAGAGCTACGTATTATTTAAGATGTCGTAACATATTACAATGCACTCTGAAAACCATAAAACTGCAAGAAAAGTGTACCAGTAACTAAAGAAGTAATTCCAGAATTCTAAAACACAAATACATCAAAAACATTAAGAGAGTTGCTTAATTCACAACTAGTGGTCAGTTCTTTCCCAAACCAGCATACTTTCCACTCCATTTAGCCAACCCAAAAGGCATAAAAGAAGCTCAAATTAACTTGCCAGATATAGACCTGGAAGTCTCCTCCATTGATTCCCAAACTTGATTTGCTCAATGGGCAATAAAATCATGCCTTTTAGGTATTGCAAAACAAACTCTAAACCCAAACAGTGCCTCTTAGAGAAAGTGTTGGAGCAGACAGAAAAAAAACATTGGACTACTGCAAATACAGGGTCAAGCAGAGCTAGTCAGCACAGTCACTGAAAGGTTGTTTAGGATATGGTCATGTACTCAGACCCCACTGCTAGCAACAAAAGCTGAACATTTTTCTGAGCCTTCTCATCTTATCAGGGTAAGACCTTACTTAGTATAAAGGAAATGACATGTCAAATAGTCAGTTTTCATAATTTTTGAGAATATCACACTTAAAGCTGCAGCCACTGGATGAGGGAAATAGGCATGAAAAGAGAGGCAGGCAGGGAGAGTCAGGAATTCATTTTTTAATGAACAAACATATTTTTAAGTACAGAAAATAAAACAATAAGGTACCTTTAAAAATGTATGCATTTAATCAGTTTTTGAAAAAAAGGATGGATTAATCCGGAGTAATAGGTGCTTCAGCCTGTAGAAATCTTTGCAATATTCAGCAACACTGTTATTTTCATTTTACTTGTCAGTGTGCAGGAATGCTGAATATGCATGTATCACCATTTTTTAAGAGTTAAGGGAAGAAGCTAGCCAGTTCTACTCCTCCTCACAGATTCCCAACCCAACAAGATGATTCTGAGTTTTAGGCACAACAGTATTTATGCTGACAATCCTAGATTGTGTCCCTTTAAAGCCCTATGGAGATTTCTTCTGGGAAAAGCATATTGTGTTTATAGCAGGGATGGCCAAACACTTCTGATATATGTGCCACTCAGAGATCACAGATTGAAGATCTGGGCAGCAAATGTCCCTAAATTAGTACTCTCTACAACACATTAAACTGCCTCCAGCTGTTGAGTCTGTTTTTGCCTACTCATTGTACTTCTCGTTTCACTCTCCTTTTTGGGGTGAAATACTCCATTTTTTCTGCTTTGTTCTGGACCCATCTCCTGTCTGTTTCTTTTGTTGCCACTATTTAATAGGGACAAACAGAAGCAAGGGATTTCATGCTTAGTTGGTTAAACACACACACACACTCATGGAAAAATACTTTAAGTTAGTGCAGCACTAATGCTAACAAACCATGCATTCAGAGCCCTTGAAATACAGAATTAAGGTTGAAAGCTCAACCCTAACTCTGCTCCCTTCCCCCTCTCTTGGTTTTACTTACGGATATGGTCTCCTTTTATGATTTATTTTTCATTTAAGGTATCTTTAAACAAACATACTTCCAGTACCTGCACACACATCCAGAGAACTAGTCAGTCATCTGAAGCCGTTGATAAAACTCAAGGAGTTCATTAAAAAAGTAAGATTTGCACACAGTAGGTTTCATAGCTCTGATGTTGTCTGAGATCAAGCAAGCACAAGAAACCTCAAACCTTGAAGAGGTAATGTGAAGGGAGGGGACAATGACACAAGACGGACAGTCATAATGTTAATGATAGGAAACAACTGGGAACAACAGTGGCATAATTGTATGCAAGTAATAAAAGACACAAGGCACCAGAATGAAATTATACATTGTGCAGGGTCTGGTGTGGGGGGGGCGGGGGGTGTGTGATGGATATATATAAATAAACTAAATTGTAACTGTATTAATACCTTAACTTTAAATTAGTACAACAAAATTCCATGCATTTCACAGTGTGAGCTAAATATGCAGGCTCCTCAGTTTCCATACTGTTGTACAGGTAGTTATACCTCTAAAAAAAAAAAACAAAACCATACAGGATTCATCTTCATCTATATGACTTCATTAATAAGGACAAAACCTAGGATTGCTGTTCATTTTGTGGCTACTTGAAAGAGATGAATGTAGATGCATGTA